AAATCTATAAGCCAAGAAATGTTATTTGGTTAGTTTAAAAACTGATAATATTAATATAAACCGATAGCGGTTGTTGACTGCTGTTGATGTAATGTTGACATAATGTTGCTGTAAAGTTGACGTTGTGTTGATGTAGTGTTGATATAATGTTGACTGCTGTTGATGTGATGTTGATGTATTGTTGACTGCTGTTGATGTAATGTTGACATAATGTTGCTGTAGTGTTGACGTTGTGTTGATGTAATGTTGATGTAATGTTGACTACTGTTAATGTGATGTTGATATAATGTTGACTACTGTTAATGTGATGTTGATATAATGTTGACTGCTGTTAATGTAAAGTTGACTGCTGTTGATTTAATATTGACAATGTGAGAATAGCACTTACACCTGCTATCAAACGGCTCGGATGTAAGACGCCTCAGTTCCTTGGCCTGTTGACTAGCATTTCCACTTATTTCAGTTGACAGTGTCTGATAGAATGTCAAGATTGTGCGACAGATTCACTGAGGCGTGTAAACCCGAGCTGAAGTCAGCCAACTTGCCGTCTTACACCACTGAAGACCTAATAACCTTTAAGAAAATGGTTGAAGAAAAATATCGAATCTAGCGCATTGAATCTAATTTAAGTAGCACCAGTTCTTCCGACACTCTTGTAAGACATCCTGGATCGAAACAGTGGGTTACCCACCAACCCACCCACCCCTTTTCCCTTCCGTCCTTTCATCCCCCTCTTATATAAACCAGGGGGGTAGTGTCCCTTGCACTATTCTCACATATATAAAATAAACGACGCAGTTTTTACAAACGAAAGTTACAAATACGTTACAGCGTTTTAATTGAAAACAAAACATAATCTGAACTAATTAAAAACGTAGTCGGCAAAAAAAACATAACTCAACTTGTATTTTTGACTTTTCTGAAAATTCAAAAACCAAGTGGAAAGATTAGGTAGACGAACATGAGCTTATGTGATGACAGTATATCAAAGTTTGTAGTCAGGCCTTCTCAAATTAATACATCAAAAGGGAAAAAAGATTCACAGGATTTAAGAAACTCTGCAGCTAAAACCTGCTGACATATCAAGAAACTGGCCCTCAAATCCTGTGCCATACCTAGATCTAGCTTTCTTTTGCCATAAAAATTTAATTATAAACCACGCTTTGAATTTTTTTTTAATAAAATTATCTTTTTTTCTTTTGAAAGTCGAAATGTTCGTTTCAGTGTGTTCGTGAAGACTGTGTTGCTTTGAATATTGGGATTTGACGTGTTGCTTGCGTTTTTGGGTTAAGGGTTTATGTTGGCACATAAATATAAAAATAAGTTAACTGTTAGCTAATAGACAAGTTTAGCCTACATTCGTTTGATGAGCGCCGTCTACTAGAGATTAGGTGGGGGCTACTACAACACATGACTACCAAACTAAGGGCGGCGCCCAGACACACCAGCGATATTGCAGCAGGTAGCTCCCCCCCCCCCCACCCCCCTTCGACCCATATATTGTAACACTTTGAAATGTCTGCAGAATTAAAATATTTTTTTCTTAGATGCTGCTTCGCCTAAGAAATTTTTTTTTTATCTTCAGGTTATAATTTTAACGGTCTTATTTTACTATCGTTGGTTCTAAGAATATTAATACGTTTTTTCACAAGGAGATTCCATTAAATCAATATTAGAAAAATCTGAATTTAAAAAAAAAAACTAAACCACAAAGGAACGTATTTTCTAACAACAGAAAATAACACACCTGTCGTACAAGGCATTATTTTTACTAACAGAAAATATTTAAAAATGTTACGCAATATAACATTTTGGACGAAAAGAGAATACTAAATATGCGTATAAAACAGCAAGTTTTACCAACACAAATACTAATAAGTTGAAAAAGACACCACTTTGAACCTACAAAAACTAGCGAACATGTTATACGTAACAGTATATTGTACGTAAGGCATTTTCTTTTAGAAATGATAGATTTCGTACCGATGTAAAATACCTAAAAAAAATAGCAAGACTACTTTGTACCAACAGAAAACGCCTAACATTTTTTAACACGCCAGCACTTCGTACCAACAGAAAATAAAGTAACTTTTTTAACACGACAGTACTCTGTACCAATTTAAAATATCTAAAAAAAATTACTTTCTCGTATACAGAACATGAAGAAATACATGTAATCGTACACAAAAAATAAATAGAATTAAATGGAATTTCGACAATTTTTGCCGTTTTAAACCTCTCTACTCTGTCGTAAATGGAAAATGAAGGATGTATTTTAATCGTAAAAAAATCTAAATCCTGACACGATAACTTGAGTACTGTTCAGTTATGTTGACCAAATTTCATTTCCAAGTATTATATCAAATTTATAGTTTTCCTTCAACGTTTGAATGATTTCCAGTAACCGGAAGTTGGACATTCTACTTAAGTACCATTAAAGTTAGGCAGTGGAAATTTCACATACAAGTCTAAATTTGCATGCGCATGTTTCAATCAATTTTTAAGTGATTGCCGGTAATAGAAAATGGAACTTTATTTCCGTGAGAGCAAAATAACTTGAGAACTAAGCCCTATTTTAGTTTCTAAGACGATATTTCATATATTATCATAAAATCTTATTCTTGAATTACATTCAACTTTTAATTATTTCCGATAACCGGAAGTGGTATAAAGTTGCCGTGAAAAAAATGAGAACGAGCCCTACCATACTTTATAGTGTTGGATTATTTTAAACTCGTAAAAGTCTAGGCTTTGTTTCATATTTTATTTAATTCGTCTGTTTTCAACACTGTGTATATGATGGTTTTATATAGTAATCATTTTAAAATATGTGTGCACGTTTTTTTTTAAAGTTAGTGTTTTTTTTTTTACAATGTATTAAATCGCAAAAATTTAGTAAGCACTCCTAGCCTGTAGAGTAAATAATAAATTACTTTATCTAGTTTGACCACTTTCATATTGTTAATTAATGTCTTAAACAATAGAAGTATAGGGGCAATAACAATATTAAATATGAATCCTTAATATGTCGGAAGTTATTACATTTTAGCTTTAAGCAAATTTATTACAAGTTATAAAATGTGTTTATAAAATTTACAATGAATAAAAGAAATTATAGTTAACAAGTAATATCATAAATTCAAAATGTTCAAGTTATGTGTAAAGCTAAACAATGTTGTATTATTCTATCTAAAGATGTTTTTTTAATTCAATCGTTTGCTTGATAATTTTATTCTTCTCTAAATTTAAAATAGTCTATTACCTGAGTATTTTAATCTATTTTATTGCAATGTATAACCACTCTGAGATAATGAACCAGACAAAAATAAGTCCGAACTCATTTCGGGCCCGCAATAATCGTGATTTACAAATGACCAGAACAAATGTTTGTATTACATTTTCATGTTTACCGAAAATTGTGGGGAAAAAAATTAATTAGTAGACAAGCTGGTCAAAATTATATAAACACGTAAGCTTGATTTGTGCAATGGTTTCTCGCGTTATGTTTATTTTTATGATTTTTTGAAATTTATATTATTAGTTTTGAATACATACATGTTTATAGCCATAGGATTCTTTGGTGTGCCTTATTTAGATAATAATTAAGAGAATAAATTGCTTTTTAATTTACATTGTACAAACGATGTAAACGAGCTATATGCCCATATGGGCACCTGTGTTTTAAAGAAGGGTAATAAGTCTTGGAAGTAGTCTGAATGTTTGCCTATCTAGTTTCAAAGTACAGCTCTTGTAGATTTTATATTTTTCTACACAACAGTGTGTGTTAGTTAGGGGTCGTCTATAAATGACGTCACACTCGTAGGGGGAGGGGGGTCCGTAATTTTGTGACGGTGTGTGATGAGGGAGAGATGGGGAGGTTCAGATGGTGCGACGTCACACTTTTGCATTATAAAAAAGCAATGTTAGAAACTATTTTAAAACGTTATTTCGCGTTTCAGAAAACTGTTTTTAATAAATTGCAATAGGAATTGATTAAAATACTCTATATTGACAGAGTTCAGACAAGATTTTGGAAAAATATCGATGTTTTAAGAAAACTTCAACTGCAATTTTGAGTGGGGGGGGTTGAAGGCCGAGGTGTGACATCATTTTAGGGGTGGGGGTCTGGCTTATTGTGACGATGTGTGACGGAGGGGAGGGGGTAGGTAAAAATCGTCAAAAAACCGTGACGTCATTTATGGATGACCCCTTACTGTAGAACAATCACTGCTATAGTAGACCTGTTTGTTTTTTACAAAACCACTATAATGAAAATATAATTGTTTTTTTGGTTGGAACTAGGCCCTTAAATTCTGAGATTATTTGTCCATGATGTCATTTGTCCTGATATATTTTGTCCTGGTATCTTTTGTCCGTGAGATCATTTATCCTTGAGATCATTTGTCCTGAGATAATTTGTCTTGAGATCATTTGTCCGTGAGATATTTTGTCTGAGATATTTTGTCTGAGATCATTTGTCCTGAGATCATTTGTCCTGTCACACTACAATGGTTACTTGATTTGCATTCATTCTAATAGGCCTACCATATTTTTTATTAAAAAATACGGTGTTTTTTTATATGATTTGTGTTTATTTGGATACAAATGAAGTGTCAGTGATCTATATCAATTTTATTTTATTCATGAAGAAAACAAAACAAACGTAAATTGTTTTTAGCCTTTACTTTGTCACAATTTATTCGATTGTAAAACATTTTTCTGTGTAAACCTGCAAACTAATTGATACGTTTTATTCTTTGGTATAGACCACAAATATGTTGACATATTTATAAATAATTACACCAAGATTAGTCTTCAACTTTGACAAGGAAAAGATTATAGAAATAAATTCAATTTGATTTTATTTTGTTTTACTTTTGAAAATTTCAATAATTCCGTGGAGCGCTCTAGCTAAACCTCATAATTATATATTTAGTTTAGCAATTTAGGCCTACACTGAAATTAACGACAACATTCAAAAGGATATAGTGAAAAACAAACAAAACAAAAAAAACAATCAGGTTATATTAGAAAATAATCAAAAGAATTTTCAACCCATTTTATGTTATTTATGTGTCGGTCTACTAGCATTATCTTCTCATTTTTTGTAATGCTGTCCACGCCACATCCACCATCCATATCCCATCCTTCTCTGCTCCTGCACCATGTTTCTGGTGTTACAGCGGTCACCAGTACAAAAACACGTGACTTCCTTCTTGTGAGTCAGGCAGCCATTGGCTGGGATACGAAGACCTGGGAACTTGCCGTCTGAACATCCACGGACCACATCTGGAACAGAAGAACTATATTAGTGTGTCAGGGTGTTGATAGTATTTCAGAAAAAAGGTTTAGTGTTAAGTTCAGATATTTGAGTTAGGGCTCTAGTAGGACTTGGGCAGAAGTTAGGTTTAGATATGGTTAGCATTGGCAAAAGAAAGTTATGTTTGTATTTTGTTTTCTACTAGTAACATAGCGACTCTTATTTAAAAAGATAAAAAGAATCAATTATTATGTCATTATCGGACGCAGGCAGTACAAGCAACGCTTAACATTGTTACCGCAAATGGGTCAGTACCTTTGACCCAAGTATAGAAATACATTAAAACGAAAATGTATGAGATATTGTTTTTAGAAAACATGTTAGTTTCGTCACATTCTATATCATAGTCCGTCCTGGGATGTTATTGGAGACTTAAGTGTTAGCAGTCGAGCGTATCAACCAACAGCCTATACACTGCATATAATGTTATCACATTGTTTTTCAAATTAGTATTTCTGGCACCTTATTTAATGATAAATGTTCATGATCTACTCACCGCCACCAAAAGGTGTTTTGTTGACAGTAGACATGCAAGGTCCCTTACACCTGACAAAACGTGTGTTGGTCCCAGTCTTTATTTTCCCATTGGCAGGACACAGGTAGTTCTGTTTCTTGCTGCTGCAGCCGCTGGTACAGCTGTGGCAGTCGTAGTAGCGCTGGGCTGGGGCTCGTGTGGTTGGTGTGGGTTCTGGGTTATTTCTGGTTGCAGAATTCGTAGTCTGCTGGTTGTTCACGGTTGTTACTAATCTTGTTGTGGTTGCTGGTTCGTTCGTGGTTGTATCTGCTTGCGTGGTGGCTGGTGCTCGTGTGCTGGTGGTGCTGGTTGTGCTAGCTGTAGTGGTTATCTTTGTAATGGTGGTCGTTATAGGACTGGTTGTTAGCGTGGTGGTGGTAAATGCTGCGGTCGTCGATATCGGATCATCTGGTATAAAATTATATTGATAACAGCTATAACGGTATTAGTACACCGTCATATCCATGAATATATATATATATATATATATATATATATATATATATATATATATATATATATATATATATATATATATATATATATATATAATATGTGTATATGAAAAGTAGATAAGAGAAAATACTTTGGGTTTTTTGTAAACACCAAAATTTCAATGTTACCGTATAAAACATAAAACCGAAAGTTGCTCAATAACATCATTCAAGCGTCAACAGTTCTCTAGTTTGAGCGGCACAGAGAAGTGCCTAAACAATTATTTCTATCTTCATAATCCTTTCGACATCTTTTACATTACTTTGATCCTAACTGTTCTAATGTTTGAATGCTTTTTTATTCATTGTATGATTTGATTTAATCATTTTTGTATGTATCGTGCTATTTACTAAGAAAAAAAATATTTATAAATTAATCCCCAAAACTAGCTTTGGTTAAAACTTGGGACAAGAAGTGGGTACTGTCTCACCACAAGAACAGCACACAATAGCTGTCGAGGTGGAGGTAGAAATGTCGATGTCGTCTCCGCTCGCTAAAGCATATATGCAGTTTCCTATTGAATATCTGTAACCATAGCATCTTGGATTAGAGGAGCAGTTGCGGAAACATTCCTGTGGAGTTTTTCAGTGTAATCATTTACATTTCAGTGTAAATGACGAAATTTAGGAAAGATAGATCATGTGAATTAGCGAAACTGTGATTTAGAGTTTTCGTTTATTAGTTCAATAAAAAAAGTAACAATATAAAATTTTGTTTTTCAACTGTTCGTGACCAAAGCATATGGGGTAGATAAAGTAGAGTTCATGCAAATCTTGCAAATGAACTAGAGTTCATCTGTTTCAACTACCTCGGCATATGTAGGGAAAGTGAAGACAGCACCTTGCCAAGCCGTCTTTTTTCCCTCACGCAAGTCAGGTACCCATCAGAGCTGGGTGTACTCAGTGATGTCCTACACTCACCAGTCCGAGCCGAGATCCGAACTCGAGACTTTAAGCAGTCAGTCAAACACTCTACAATTCCACCACACAGTTATACTATCAGTAATACAATGCTAAATAGCTTCGATGATGTAAATAGTTTCAACACAAGACATACTGTGTGAGTTTAGCAGGAGAAACAAAGGATACTTTTTTTTAAATTTAGGAATATTTTTTTATAAACGACCCAATCTAATCATACGATAATATATTTGTTCTACTAAACCTACAGTGTTGTTAACTGATGATATTTCTTCAATAGCACTTGCTTTTGCTTTACACTGCTGTGCTGTTTGGTAAAAAATTACATATATATATATATATATATATATATATATATATATACATATATATATATATATATATATTATAGGCCTATATATGAATATTTATATGTGTATATTTATATATGAATATTAATATATATATATATATATATATATATATATATATATATATATATATATATATATATATATATACTTTATACTTTATATATACTTTATCAAACATTGGCTTTTTTTAAATTTACTATATGGAACCTAATTACTTACTACTCCTGCAATGCACGAATACTGTAACAGTACCAGTAATATTCTCAGTGTCAGTATCAGCAGGCACGTCGTTGGAGACTGCATTTATGCATGTATCAGCAAATCTATATGCAGTACATTTAGGGTCGGAAGCACAGCTTTCAAAACACTCCTAGTAAATTATAAAATTGTACACAACAGACTTATTTCTAAATTAAAGAACAAAGCGTTACAATAATAAATTAAACAACAAAGTAAGTGATATAATTGTAAACTACACTATTTCTATTATTCCTATTACTTTAAATAACCTATTCTGCATTAAATTAGAAAAAGCCTACATATGCTTCTTAAAATTCTTCTTTAATTCATATTCCTTGTGTGTGTGTGTGTGTGTGTGTGTGTATGTATGGGTGTCTGTGAACACGATAACTTGAGTACCGTTACAGCTAGGTTGATGAAATTTCATATATAAGTATTATATCAAATTTGCAGATCATTATCAAGTTTTCAGTAATTTCCGATAACCGGAAGTGAAACTTTTTCTACTTTCAATTTTTTTTTAATTCCTATAACCTGAGTACTATTTCAGATAGATAAATAAAATTTCACATATAAGTAAAAAGAACTAATTCTCTGTCTTCTTTCAAATTTTGAGTAGCTTTTGTTGACCAGAAGTACTAATCTAGGCTAATTACGATTTCTCAAAAAAACGATCTTTAATCAATTTTTAAATATGTAATACATTTAAAATACATTAGAATATTGTAGAAAAAAGAAATGCGCACCGAGTGAACAGCACACAATGTGTTTATAACAGTGTGGAATATTAGTACTTAATAAATTACTATGTGTTGTGTTGTTTTTTTTTGAGAAATCGGAAATAGCGTAAAGTATTTCTTTCGGTAAACGAAAATTACTCAAAATATGACAGAATGCAGAGAAATAGATTTGATAATTGTGAATTTTCATGTATCTATCTGAAAGAGTACTCTGGTTATTTAAAAGCATTAGGAAAACCAAAGGAAGAATAAGTTCCATTTCCGATTACCGGATATAGCTGAAAAATTGATACAGAACTACAAATTTGATTTAATACATATATATTAAATTTCATTCAAACCTCACTGTAACGGTACTCAAATTTTCGTGTTCTCAGACACACAGCAACACACAGATATACGGACAAAATTGCTAATCTATTTTTTTCGCCTCATGGAGGTGTAAAACGTCAAGATTTTTTGGGGAAAACGGATTTTCCTTCTTGATCAAGATCACGCACCCGTGGTACAAAGGAACAAATAACTAGACTTGATCGCCATACTGAAATATATCTAAAGGGCTCTTATCTTGATTATTGGTTTTAAAAAATTAATATTAAAGGCTTTTCAAACAAATTTCATTTTCCAAACTTATAGTGTTGTTTGACGGCATGTGCATTAAACAAAATTAAAGAAAATTTACAAAATTCTTATTGTGTCTGAAGATTGGGGTATTATAGTCGTTCACTAAAATTGAATCAGGCGCTTCCGCCGGCGCACCGGCAGGGTTTGATTTGGTGCTCTAGGCTATCCTGTGAGCGCTATGGTGCATAATTTCGTTTTAAATAGTGCGATAGACTGTGAATAAGAAAGGTCTTTAACTGAATCGAATCCGGGCGGTCACCGGCGCCCCGACAGGGTGCTATTTCGCTCTGTACCTCTGGCTCATTTTTTTCCATAGACCTGGGTAAATGAATTAGCGAAGCTAGGCAGTATACCTAGTTTTTATATAGATCTAGAGTGAAATTATTATATAGATCTAAAGTGAAATTATTATATTGATCTAGAGTGAAATTATTATGTAGATCTAGAGTGAAATTATTATATTGATCTAGATTGAAATTATTATATTGATCTAGGGTGGAATTATTTTACAGACCTACAGTGGAATTTTTATGTAGATCTAGATACTAGGAAAGCAAAGTTTCATCCTAAACTATTTGATGTCAAATATTTGACCATTTTAAAAATATATTAATTATATATATTGACATCGTAGATGTAATCAACGAAATTCTAACCAAAAACAAGCAATAATTAATTATTGTAGGCCCTACTCTTAAAACAATTTAAAGTTTAAAGAAATAAAAATTTACCTGCGCGGATGATACATTTAAAGGCTTATTTACAATGCTAAGCGACGCCGTGCAATCTTGAGCTACCAACAAACAAACAAAAAACGCAAAAATGAAGTGGGAGGATACTATAAAAAAATGTTAAACATTCAAAGTATAATCAGCTGTATATTATTATAAATAATCATATTCTTAAATTTCTTAACAAAACGAAAAATTAGTTGGTTAAATTTCTGAACTTGGTTTCTCTGAGTGCTCATGTGTTTGTACGTGTGATATAGGTGGTTGTTTTGCAAAACTAAATGAGAAAATTATGTAATTAATATGTTTAAAATACAATTTTTTCATTTCTTTATACTTTGTCATATATTGGAAAAGGAAGAGCAAAAAATTTAAACTAATTAAATACATACAAAATGTAAATATATATATAACTTATAACTTAGAAAGCAATGTTGTAACTTATATCCCAGCAAGCACCTTGAACACAAACACGGTGACACCAGTAGAAGTAACCAGTAACACCTTACCTGATAGAGCCATTGGTAAACACAACAAAAAGAAGACCAACTTCATGCTTGCTATACTAAAACTCTCAACTTGTCCAGGTAATTTTACTAAGTTTTTCAGCTCTCCAACATCAACGTAAATAAAATTCCAACATAAAAACGCTGATGTTTATTCTGTTTTATATATTTCGGTACGGTCAAACTTTTCGTTTCCAAAATCTGTTTCAGGTCAAGATCTATAAAACTTGTAAGGCCACAACTTAGAACGTAATAACTTGTTTTCTGAGCCCTCCTTTCAGGACGTAGCAGTCATGCGTGACGTCTATATGGCTGGAATTGACGTGGGTGTCGTAGAATAGTTGTTTAAAAAGTGCGTGTTAATCATGTTTGGTGTGAAACAAGTAGCGGTGTGGTTTTTGTGGATGCTATGTTTTTAGTGGGTTTAAGTTAATGAAGGGAGGTTGTTCATCTAATCATCTAAAAATTAAGATAATTATATCACACTAGCCGTAATGCGGAGCCTTACAAATATTTTAAAATAAAGCAGGGGTGAGTTCCAATGCATATTTTCCCACGCCGAAGTAAAAGTAAAAGTAAAAGAAAATCACCATTATTGTGATGTATAACATTTATTTTCTACTTTTTAGTTCAATCAGAAAACGTGGGTTTTTTTTTTAATTTTAATGATAATTATTCGTACAAAACATTTACGGTTGGGGTTGTCAAAGTCAGTAGAATCACAAGATAGAAAAATGGAAGTTTTTGACAAAATACATAAAGGGAAACAGTCCATAGAGCAAATTGCGGCATTTGATTAAAAAATATCAAATTCTTCAAAAAAATTACGAAAGACATAAAAAAGTGGCATTTCAGGCTAAGAGAAATCGACAACAAGTGATGAAGTGATGAAAAACTATCTATAGAATTTTACACGTGAAATTTCATCCGACTAATTGAAAAGATTTTAAAGAAACCGCACATATATTGTTATGTATCATTTCCTGTTACTGGAGATTGCTCTAAAGTTTCTAGAAACCTACTTATAGAATGTGTTTTTGTTTTTCAAAATATTTAATTTCATCTACCCAAAATTTACAATATTGTCTAAATGCCAAAACTGAAAACGATAAATTAATATTTTGATTATTTAAATGTAGCCAACTTAATTTTATATTATCTAATCGATTTTAATATTTAAAATTTTCTTCAATGAAAAATGAGAACCTGAAAGAAAATGTATATCTCAATGTTGAGCCACTTAGCGATATTCTGTGACGTGACTCTCTATAAAACAATTAATTATTTGAAACAATGTTTACTATAACACCAATACTAAAACCAATATATCGCTCAGCTAACAGATTTAGTTTTAAGCAAATTCGGATCTTGTCAAATGTTGAATAGATACTTGTATCATTATACATTGTTTTTAGAAAAGCAGTTCAGAAAAGTGAGATTTTAAGTTAAAATTAAAATATAAATTGTGTACAAGCTAATTTAGTTGTATTTGTCTTTGTCATACGTGTAAATTAGTGAACTATTTTTTTTAATTGATACGTTTGACCGGATGAAAATTAAATGTTGCATGAGCCTTGATATAATTTGATGCTTAATCACTTTATAAAAATTAATTTAAAATTGTGCTATTTAGAAACCGGAAGTAGAGTAAGCACAATTTCCGGTTACTGGAAATCGCCGAAAAGTTGGTATATAACTACAAGATAGTTTGAAAATACTTGTATATGAATTTTCGTCAACTTTACTAATTCGGTAGTCAATGAGCATCGACGACAGAGCTGTTTGAACTCTCTTAGTAGGCTACCGGGGAGAGTTATCTGAGAAGCTGTGTGAGCTATCTGGGGAGCTGTTTGAACTCTCTGAGTATCTGCTTTATTTGTCTCTTCTGATTTTAGTTGTCTCGATCCCAGTATTTCAAACATACGCCTTAAGCTGTGGAATACATCGGGTTTTAACATTTCTACAACTTATAACTCTTACTAGCTAGCCATCTATTCAAACATCTCGAAAATAATAACAAACAAAAAAAGGTTTCATATACATATAAAAAACGCTTAGTTATGAAGTTTCACGTGGCAGGGCATTCCTATTACAAATTCAGTAGGGCGTGTATTTTTGACATTCACATTCGCCAAGGTCACCTTGGTTACACCTGACTTATTTTCTCAAAAGCTGTGACGCATTAAAAGAGGTGCAGTCTATAGTGTCTCTCGCACATTGTTCAAGTCATTATTTTAGCACTTGTAGTTGCTGTATTATTAAAACACTGACCACACAACTCAATGCACACTTTCTGTAGCAGGCTGACCACAACACTGAGTGCACCGTCTCTCTCTTCCATTGTAGATATGTACGACGCAGTGGCGTAGCCAGGATCGTCTCAAGGGGGGGGGGAGGGTTCCAATTTTTACCCGGGGACAAACTTTCGATTTGCACCCCCCCCCCCCCCTCAAACTTTCGATTTGCACCCCCCCCCTCAAACTTTCGATTTACACCCCCCCCCCTCAAACTTTCGATTTGCACCCCCCCTCATACTTTTTATATATACCGAGGGTTCTATGGGGGGGGTTATGACCCCCCCCCCTAACCCCCCCCCCTGCCTACGCCACTGGTACGACGCTTTAGTGGACTCGTCAAACCTTACCCCATACAGCCATGGGCAAACACAACAGAAAGAAGACCAACTTAACGCTTACAATCCTTTCTAGACAGTGACTTCAACGTTCTTAAAATACTAAAATATAGGCCTACAGGCTGTTCAGTCATAGTGTAGATATTCGTTAAAAAATATTTTTAGGACAAAGAACTGCTAAAATTAGACAGCTGCAACGTGAAACACATAACCTTGTTTTTTAGCTTCAGTTCAAGTCTTTAATGCGTGAAGTGATTCATGCGTTACAATCATGTGTGACTTCTGTGACTTTGGATGAAGTCTATATTTGAATAAAGCGGGAGTGATCTCCCCTACATTTTCTTGAATATTCTTATATTACACTGCGGGGGATGGCATCTCTGCATTTAAACATGATTTTAATCAACTTTTAAATACTTTAATTTTTTTTTAAATTGAATAGAAAATATAATTGTGCATCAAATGAACAGCAAAAAAATGTGTGTATAATAGTCGATATAAAGAATACCTTAATTAATTTTCAAAGCGTTAATAAATCATCTAATTAAGTAACAGTGCATTGTTTTCTATTCTTGACCTTCGCGAAAAGTAAAAATAACTCGATTAGGTAGAAAGACAAAGAAACAAATTAAAAATCATATGCGTTTTGGGAGAAATCGAAAATAGTAGCGTAAAGTACAACATCCGGTCAACGGAAAGTACTCAAAATGTGATAGAAAATAGAGAATTTGATTATTATTTTTAATTTATATGTGAAATTTCGTCAATCGAAAAGAAACAGTACTCAAGTTGTAGAATTTAAAAACTGAAAGTAGAATAAGTTCCACTTTCGGTTACCGAAAATCGCAGAAAAGTTAATACAGATCTATAAATTTGATATAATATTTATATATGAAATTTCGTCAACCTAGCTGAAACGGTATTCAAGTTATCGTGTTCTCAGACAGACAAACATCCATACAGACAAGCGGACCAAACTATAAAGCAAAGTTTTTCCTACTCGATGACGCGTAAGACGCAGAGATTTTGATAAATCTGGTATTAGAATTTTGACCCGATTTAAATAATTCCTCTATACTCCGTATATGATGAAGTTTTGAGGTGTAAAACGGTGAAATGTGTCAAAATTGCATGTGATTTTCTTTCACGATTACAATACTTCCACTATACTCTGCACACTAGAAAGTAAAAAGGACCATTTTGTTCTATGCTTTACATTGGTTAAAATCCTAAGTAAAAATAATTGAATTTGTATTTAAGATTACAAGTTACACCTCTAATTCAATGTATAACTCTAAAAGTTGATTACAATTTTTTTTGTAAATATTAGTTTAGAAGTCGCTTATAAATTAAAATCTGCATTTCAAAAACTTGACTCGTTTCATCTTGTCATTGCCTCACGTTCTTGTTAATGCGTAGTAGAACTTTCAACAGAACTTTTTTTTTACTTTATTTATTTTTAAAAACAACAATTAATATTAAAAATTGTGTAGAACTATTTATCTGCTGTCTGCGAAAAATTGAAAAGTTGTTCATATTAAATTATTTTATCGTTCTCAACTTAGATATTTTAACGTTGTTTTTTATTTTTTATTTTTTTTATTTTTGTTCATTTGCTTTGCAAGAACATACTGTCAGTTACTACCCAACACAATCAAATGACATTGAAATAAAAACGTTTGCGTTTTAACATGCTGACAGGATCATCTAGTAGGTGTACTGTGACTGAAAACTTCTGCGTTTTAATTGCTTACATATTTTCACATGGTCGGTCAACCGTGTCTGAAAGTTAAAAAGGTTGTATCTTAAAAGATTAAAAAGAATATTAAATAGTTTGGGTTATAAGACGCATGATTCATATTCTCAAGAACTACTAACTTTTGTATATTGCTAATATTCTGTGTTAAAACAAACAAGAACATCTTGTAGGTTACATGTCTATTTATATGTGTGTATGTGTTTGTGTTTGTTTGGGTGGGTTTTTGTGAGTGGTTCATAAATGTTTGTGTGTAGTTGTTTGTATGTGTGAGCGTATTTGGGTGTTTGTGTGCGACATGTGGGTATGCGTGTAGGTGTGTGTATATAACTGTGTGTGCTGGTATCGGTGAGCGTATGTGTGGGGTTGGCTGTGTGCGTATTGTGTGTGGGTGTGTAAGTGATTGGGAGGGATGAGTATGCTTGAAGGGGGTAGGTTGGTGTTGGTTTGAGGTGTGGATGTGGGTGGGTTTGTGTGTGTAGGTGTGTCGTTGTGGGTTTGGGTGTGGGCGGGTGTGTAAGTGTGGGTGGTGTGTGTGAGAGTTGTGGGTGTGGGTTTGTGTGTGTGTGTGTGGCTGGATGGATGGATATGGTAGTGGATGTGAGAGTATGTGGACGTGAGATGGTGTGGCTGTGGGTATGTGTGGGTTTTGGGTGTGTGGGTGGGTGTGTATATAGGTGTGGGTCGTTGTGGTTGTGGGTGTGGGTGGGTTGCTTGGTGGGTTGGGTTGTTGGGTGGTTGGTTGTGCGTGAAGTGTGGATGCGTGGGAGGGTGTGGGTGGGAGTGTGTTGCGTGTGTATATGTGTATGTGTGTCCTTCCCCCACCCCATCCAGAGTTCAAACCCGCGCCAGATAAGGCTCGTAAGCAGGGTTTTGCTACCCTGGAGAAATAAATTCTGAATCCTATAATGAGTGAAGTCCCTTGGGTGATAGGAATATCGACTTTGATTTCCTGTCTACCGCTTCTGTGACACTGACTATTCCGTGCTACACAGGTAACCTCCTCTATCTTGGGTTTATCAGCAAAGTGAGAGAGAGGGGGGCGGCTTGATACTAGAAGAGAATCTGGCAATGTGCAGTAGGCCAATACTCTGTTAGACTAAGGCGCCTCAAAACACACACATACACAAATATATGTGATTCACACACACACACACATATATATATATATATATATATATATATATATATATATATATATATATATATATATTTATTTATTTATTTATTTATTTATATATATACTAGCTGCATCCCGTGAATTAATGTGAATATATATTTGACGAAGTCAATAACCTTTCCTATCACATTAAGGACGACAAAAGCACAATAGATAGAGGATAAAAAGCAACTTGTAAAATCGAGTTAAGTGAAAATAAAACTGTATCCAATAGAACATTTTATTTAACTTAAAAAAAAAATTTTATTTTCATGAAAACAATAATTATTTCCTTCCCAACCAAAATGAAACTCTTGCACACTTTGATTTCGGGTTCCTGTAGGGCATTTTGTACAACAAACCTTATCAGTTCTTCTGCCTACATGTATATCATTTTTAAGCAGTTTTACTGATGTAGATTTAGCATAGAGTAGGTCAAATATTTTTTTAAAAATACATTAGTTAACCGTTTACCAATAGCAAACGTTTTATTTACACAGTCTTTAAATTTCAAGCCATCTGAAAAATGTTGTTGGGACCAACCTCTTACACCAAGTTTGATTATCGTAGTCAGTGAAATAAACCTTTTTTAAAAGGTCTAATAGTGTCAAAAATATAAAGATATTCTGGCCACAATCATTTACTTGTGGCCAGGTCATGTCGTTTACCAATGTCTATATAGTGTCATTTAGTGCGTTCTACGTTTTGTCATTTGCCAATGTCTACATCATGTCAACATCATGTTATTAGTTGTGTCTACGCCCCATCCACCATGCATCTCCCATCCTGCTCTGCTCCTGCACCATGTTTCTGGTGTTACAGCGGTCACCAGTACAAAAGCACGTGACTTCCTTCTTGTGAGTCAGGCATCCATTGGCTGGGATACGTAGACCTGGGAACTTGCCGTCTGAACATCCACGGACCACATCTGGAATGATTACCATGTTCTGGTTATAAAAAGTCATTGAATTTTTAATTTTTTCTCCTTAATGTATATAATATGTTTTTCTTTTCCATTGTTAATTGAAAGATCTTACTCTAGATACCTTAAGTAAAATCATTAATTTATTTATGTGCATTTAAAATTAAAATATTTAATTATAAAACAAAATCAATTATGTTTAGCTTTTATTTTTATCTTAGTGGTAAGTAGTAACCATAACAATATATGTTTTTGATAAGGAAATAGACATATAAATAGCACTGAGCACCTGGATAGAATTTTCGCTTGACAGTAGACATGCAGGGTCCCTTACACCTGACAAAACGTGTGTTGGTCCCAGTCTTTATTTTCCCATTGGCAGGACACAGGTAGTTCTGTTTCTTGCTGCTGCAGCCGCTGGTACAGCTGTGGCAGTCATAGTAGCGCTGGGCTGGGGCTCGTGTTGTTGTTGTGGGTTCGGTTGTAGCAGATGTCGTTGTTTTATCTGGTGTCGGGTATTTAAAATGTAAAAAAGATACACCTTCGAACCTTGCGGTCTATTTAGCAGATGAAGTAGAGTTCACCTGTTTATGTGAAGGCAGAGTGTGGCCAGAACTATACCTAACCGCATCTATTCTCCCCAACTTAACTCAGTTAGCCATCAGACCTGGGTGGATCCGAACTCGAGATCTACGGGCTAGCAGCCAAAAGCTCTACCATTCACTCTCATAATAAAAGGAAAAAGGTAATAAAATTATATTATACTAAGATTTAATTAAAACTATAACAAATATATTATAGTCATAACCGAAGCAAGCATTTTCTAAAACATTTAGACTTAGACAAGTGTAATAAAGTAATACGAAGAGATAAAGCATACTGCACTGAATCACACATTTACTAACAACTGCAGTTAATTCACTATAATCGCAGAAAATAAAACAAAATTACTCGCTACAATAACAGTAAACATATCACAAATTCACTCAATACAATTACAGTAAACATAAAACAAGATCACCCACCGCAATTACAATAAACATAACACAAATTCACTCACCGGACTTACAGTAAACATCTTAAATGTACTCACCACAATCGCAGAAGACATAACCTCTTGTTGACTGATTGTTGGTGGTGTCTATGTCAGGCCCATCTAAAATACGAACCGTGCAGTTACCCCCAACAAAGCTAAACCCAGTACATTTTGGGTTGGATGTGCAGTCTGTATAACAGGCCTGTGATATTATATATATATATATATATATATATATATATATATATATATATATATATATATATATATATATATATATATATGTGTGTGTGTGTGTGTGTGTGTGTTTATGTGTGTCTGTGTGCATGTGTGTCTATATTTTGTAACACTGGGTTCAAAGTACTGCGATAACATGCTCTACGATAAGCACTGTAATACTTTTATAATGGTTTTCAACTTATTTTGTTGAAGCAAATTTCAATCTGCGTGATAGAATTGATTTATTACATCTGCTTTAAACAGTTGAAATGAATTATACCTGAGAAGTGTTTGATCCTGTGGTAAATGCACCAAGATGCTCTATGACTGAACACTGTCTCCCTAGAAATATATATATATATATATATATATATATATATATATATATATATATATATATATATATATATATATATATATATATATATATATATATATATAATGAAAAACTAATTTATGAAAACATCTCAGGTATTTTGTCGTGTCACAAATACCACCAGAAAGGATATTATACCCAAAAGTGAATAAAATAAATAGAAAGAAAGAAATTATGTTTGTCTGTGCCGTCATCAGCTGCCGTGGGGACGTCTTGACCCCCTAGAATCACTGTTGTACATATAACAAGAACCACTCACGGCAGTCACATACGACACGTCCCGTGGAGTTAGTGTTGGGGTCCAGGGCATCGCCCGTTAAAATTGCTAGCTTACACCCGCCGTCATTGAAGATGTAAAGCAAGCATTTTGGGTCGGACGTGCAGGCTTCAAAGCAGGCCTGAGAACAAATAGATTGTTTATCTTATGAAAAGTAATCACAAATATATTTTTAATTTCATTAAAGCATATTAAAAATAAAGTGTTAATATGAAACAACATTCGGTATAACTGCACGGACACGTTTGAAACAACTAACGCTGGTTTGGAAACAAATAGGATAGATACATAGTTCGCTGTGTGTAAACAATAGTTTGAACTGTTTGCCTAAGATTTGTTTTATTTACCTGGTTAGTGGTTGAACTACTTTCAGTTAACTCATAGGTAGGGTAAAATGAACAGTTCCTTGCTGTACAATATATAAATACATACAGAAATATATTTTTATAAGTAATATATATATATATATATATATATATATATATATATATATATATATATATAATAGTATATTTTTATTTGTATATATTTCAGTATAATTACTTACCCCTTTGTATAATTAACTTAACTGTATAATCATGCAATCGTTACTTTAAACTTGTATAATTACTTAACCTTAAACTAAAATTACCTACCTAATAGAGAAGAGGGAAAAAACAATATAAAAATGTACAGTCTCATCCTACAAAAAACACAAACACAAAGTGTGTATGAGCTACCTCATAGTGAAGCCATTATAAGGCTGTCCAACCCATACGCACAGAGACGTGTGTGCTTCATCAAGATACAGTTTCTATAAGGACTCTTTGCTGTTAATTCATGCGTCAATGTCTGAGTGGGTTTTTGTAAGGAACTGCTTTCAAAGGTTCTCAAGATATTAGACCGAATAGCGATTTTAATGGCATTTGCACTTTTGTTACTAAATTATTTTTGTTGGCTATCGAAGTATGAGAAGTCCATGTTGTTTATTTCTTAGATCAAATTTTAAGCCAAGGTAACACAATTTCATTTGAAGTACTGAGATGGTAATTAAGCACAACTGATTAGTTCTAAAGTAAAAATTTATTTTGTCTTTTTACTTAAACTTTAAATTGTCTCCATATAGTAGGTTATGTTTAGTTTTGTGGGGAAACAAGGCAGATGAAACCGTGTTGAACTACTACAGTGACCGTCTTCAACCCTATAGGAAATAAAAACTTGCTACCACAACTACCACAGTGACAGTCCTCTACCCTACAGGACATCAAACTAGCTACCACAACAGTCACAGTTATTGTCCTCAGCGCTACGGGACATCAAACTTGTTACCACAACTACCACAGTGATTGTCCTATACACTACAGGACATCAAACTAGCTACCACAACTACCACAGTGATTGTCGTATACCCTACAGGACATCAAACTAGCTACCACAACTACCACAGTGACTGTCCTCTACCCTACAGGACATCAAACTAGCTACCACAACTACCACAGTGACTGTCCTCTACCCTACAGGACATCAAACTAGCTACCACAACTACCACAGTGACTGTCATCAGCCCTACAGGACATGAAACTAGCTACCACAACTACCACAATGACAGTCCTCTACCGTACAGGACATCAAACTAGCTACCACAACTACCACAGTGATTGTCCTCTACCCTACAGGACATCAAACTACCACACCTACCACAGTGACTGTCCTCTACCCTACAGGACCAACTAGCTGCGAGAACTACCGCACAAGCTAGATGGCGCAGAGGACGGTATTTTAGGTTCAGCTGAAATTATTTTCATATTAAAAACCTTGAAACTGCTGTAACATTATACCCTGCTTCAGTGCTGCTTGCTGAGCTCAGTGAAACAGTGTAAGAGTGCAATTGTGTCGTGCTTGACTGCACTCGTCTGTCATACACCATATATCATTTTTTTCTTTATGGCTCGTCGGTTAAATATATAAATACACACAGACATGTAAATATAGAAAAACAAAGGCACACATATTCAGAGTGACATAGACGCAAACACACAAGTAGACATACACTAAACACAGAAACACTCATTCGGACACACATATCAAGATACACATAGACACAATGATAAGCAAAAAGCCGCACACACACACAGACAAACACAGACAAATACACAATCAATCACATAGATACACATACACAGGCACACAGATACAGATTGTTAAACAGACACACATACATACACACAGTTACACCCAGACAACTGACAAACACACTCATACAGACAGTGGCGTAGCGAGGTCGGGTGTTACCCGGTGCGGCACTTAATGGTGTCACCCCCAGAGGCGTAGCGACCCTTCCCGGGGCCAAACTTTCAATTTTCGATTTATTTGTACCCCCATCAAACTTTCGATTTGCATCCCCCCCCCCTTCCCCACCCCCTCCTCAAACGATTTGCACCTTTTAAAAGACTATTCAACACTCGAATTAATCACTTAATTAAGTGGAATTATAATTTTTCTCTATATATTTTGCTATTTTTTGCCTTGCTGTCATCCCCCTAAATGGTGTCACTCGGTGCGGTCCGCACCCCCGCCCCCCCCCCCCCCCTCGCTACGCCTCTGCATACAGACACTCACATACATACACACACATATTGATTACTTGCTTAAATTTTATTGCTTTAATACCCACACCAGTACTCGTTTCATTGTGGAATTCACACTATGATTCTACCCAACGAGATCATATAGCATGTTTTTTACGATCGAGACGTCGGCCATGTCTATACGGCAGACGTTAAAGATACGACCAGACGTTAAAGATACGACAGACTGATTTACATTTGAATAACTCGAAGAAAAACAGGCCATTCACGTTTCTCAATTTACAAAAAGAAATAGACACAAGTTCCACAGGCACTGAGACGCTTTTGTGCTTGACTAGCGAGGCGAGGCCTGGCGTCATATAACAGTTTCTGTCAGACAATTTTTTTTGTTCCCGAGCATTCACTCGTTCACTTGTTCCCGGGAATATATTAGACGTCTTACAAAGCCGCGGTGTAGGCGGAATCACTGAAGCGAACCGCGTCAACATAATTACCACAGTCTGACATGCGTGGAGTGGTGAAAATAATTGTCACTGGGTAGTTCAGTGGTTCCCAGATATTGGTATCAGAGCCCTCATAGACGATAGTTTTATTTCCAGGCCATAAAAAGTCTATTTCTCTCTCAATAATTATATAGGAGATGAAGAAGAATAGAATGTTTGAGGTACAAAACTAGATGAAGAATATATATATATATATATATATATATATATATATATATATATATATATATATATATATATATATATATATATGCCTATATTCTTCATTTTTTTTTTTTGTATTTCAAACATTAAAATCTCTCCTATTTATTATTTAAAGTGATACTTTTCGCTGTCAACCTAACCTTCTCTATTTTGCCTTTTAAATCCTAACTATATTTTCTATCTTAAACATTAATGTTTGTGTGAGCGGCTGGAGTGTATTATTATTATTTGTAACTTAGAAGGCGAATGTATCGTTTCGTTTCATGTCGTAAATTGTTCGTAGTTTTTAGTTGTGTAGTCCCGTATTCTGGTGCCGCTGTCTCACTGTTTATGTCCCTGTTTATAGCTAGTTTGTATATATTTCGTTTATATTGTTGTCATTGTTTATATTAAGTGTCTTTTTATATAATTCTGTTGCATGTTTCGTGGCGTTTGGTTTGTTATCCGTGAATTAGGGACTATTTGTTTACGTGTAGTGTGTGAGGTGTGTGGAAGTCGATTTTAGGCTGGTTCGAGTCTGTCTGTTGGTGTGTGGACAGGGAGGGACATTCAGTGGGAATGTCGAGGCCTGTGTGTTGAAGTGTTTCTGTATCACATGTATGTGGTGTATGGTAAAGTAGAGCTATTTTTATACTGTTTTATTATGGTTTCCTTTTAATGGTTTTCTTATTTTATATACGAAGTGACTACATACTATTTAGTCACTTCGACTTTAAGAAATCTCAATGGTTGATGTATCTAGACCACGTGGTAATATGGTGGTTTGGGTTTAGATTTTAGTCATGGATCTAGAGAATCTAGAATCTATCTCTAGATTTTACTTACATATTTTATGAGAACCTCTTGTTGAGGCTGATTATTGTGTGCATTGAACTAGTAGTTTTATGCTCAGTAACCTGATATTTACGTTTAAGTGTGTTCTTTGTACTACTTTCATTTGAAAGTTCATTTTGTACAATATCCATTTATTTTCAATTGTGTCAACTTCTTAGTGCCTTGTGTATAACTGTTTTTACATTTTGAATTGATTTGTCTATTTTTCCTCTTTCTAGGACGGTGGTCCGAAATTGGGTGTTTTGTTTCGTTGAGTTCTGTTTGTTTTGTATGTCTTGAGTGTTTTATTTTGTCTAGATCTAGATTCTAGTTTTTTATAATAACTTTTGGTTCCATATTTTGTTAAATAAATTTTATATTATTGTTAAAGTTTTTTTGTTTTATTTTAGTATTTTATTTAGACTAAGGATAAGATATAACCACCGTGGGTTTCACCACGGTTGCCCTGACCCGGACAGTTAGATAGATTTTAAGGTATCCCCCCCCCCCCCCCCTAGCAGGGCTTACATTTGTATTCATCTGTTTTTGTAAGCGTTGGTGTTCTTTTTTCAAATCGCAGTTTATTTATAATGGAAAACCTCCTAAATTCCTAGAAATATATCATATGTTTCTTGATCAGTTGTTTATGATTTCAAGTCAGTTGCCACTGGGATAAATAGTTCAAATCGTGCTATATATAACCTGATGGCCATTCTGCTTGGAGAACTTATACTGCACAATGCTCACATATTTCTCTGAAGTCTTGTTTTGAAAGCGTTAATCTTTATTTACTAAAAATAAAATTAAAATAGACGAAAAAACTAACATTGTTTCTCATATCAATATATCATGTACATCTTTATTAGATACAATTTTAAAACTTTCTTTTATTTTTTAAAAGAAAGATAGTGTAAGTTATTCGTTTGAAGCGTGTTAAAAACACACATCTTTAAAAACCGTTAAACGAAAATTAGCGACAGTTTTTAATATTACGAGCCGACCCGCTGCGTATCATACGCCGCTATTTAGTTGTTTTTTTTTTCTACTTTTCAGTATTTATAATTTGTGAATTCGACAGTACCAATGCTGCCATTGAAAATATTTGCTTAAAAACACTACCCCCCCCCCCCCCCCCCACGTGAAAGCAGCCTCCTCTTAGTTACCTCCTCTAAGTTTAAAATCGTTTCAAACTAAATTATCTGCCCCTAATAGCCGTCACCAAACCCGTCTCTGTGATTGTAAAATGTAAACAGAGTGAACACCGCTCACCAGATCATGTGGGGGTGGGGTGGGGATGGTAGTGATAGAGAGGAAGAGAGGGGACTGCAAAGGCGCGCTTGCAGCTTGTTTTCTGATCCCAGAAGAGAATTATATATATAGATAACCGTATACCACAACAATCTTAATATCACAAAACAACAGTTATCGAACAACCTTTTAACGTTACATTTTATATGTATTATCTCCTCTGTTCGACGAAATTAAATAAGAAAATTAAACTACCTTTATCAATAATAATAAAAGCTCAATAGAAATATTTTTGAACTAGTAAAATAAATTCTTATGACGGTCAATATGTCAGCTTTTAATCATTGTCTTTATGCTTCACACTTTAAGGATAGAACGTAGCTGTTGTTCTAGTTTGGAAAATGTTCAAAATTTCTAA